TGAATAAACCAAACGTGGTCTTTGAAGATGAAAAGACCACCATTCAAACTGGTCAACTTTCCAACGGGCCTCTGAGTCAATAGTAAAGTGACAACCTCATGTGTTTTCTTGGGACACTTTGCTGGTCCTGAGCGGTCCTGAGCTGGGCCGCACCTGGAACATAGACCACAGCCACGGAATTCCAACTCCCAGTGTGAGTGCCCTTTTACCTGATACCTACAGCAACTCCCCAGCCTGTTCAGGGAACGCCAGACTCCAGATGCTCTGCAAGCCCACACGATGCCCAGGCTCACCCAGGACGTCACTGCCATATGCCCCGCCCTGGAGACGGGTGCGGACACAGAAGCAGCACGCACAGCCAGACTGTTGGATTTCATCTCCATCAGCCTGTCTCTGTCTGGCCAGTTGATGCCTCTGAACACTGCTGGGTGTGCAGCGCACAGTTCAGAAAGCGCTCGCTCGCCCATGGGCTCTGAGATGCTGCTTCTGCCGGCTGCTGTCACTCACTGCAGCCTTCAGGCCCTGCTGCTGAAGAGTTGGCCGAAGGCAAACAACAAGGAATTCACAGAGCTAAATGTGAAGCAGCAATGGCTATGACTAACACATGCCTATTCCCTCAGCTCCTCATTTACCAGCAGAGCGGTCAGATCAGAAAGGTAAATCTTGGCTTAGCCTCTCCAGAGTGCAGGGTCCTTTGCTTGCATCCTACATGTACACAGGATTTAGAGCAGGGCCCAGCTACACTCCAGGCCTGATCTTTGCCCCAACCCCTCAGCATATCTAAGGAATTTGTTTTAACAAGGAGGCTTCAGCGAACCCACAAGGCACCCTGTCTGATGGCTCCATCCTCACCCCCGCATCCTCCTGCCCAGCTGCCCCATGGACCTTTCCCAAGAGGCCGGAGGTGGGAGTCCTGGCTGTCTGCGCACTTTTCTTTTTACAAAGCCACTCTTTCCATTCATGACCCCCGCGCCCCCTTCCCAGCCTTTGGCTAAGGCAGAATCGTCCTGCAGGAGCTGTGTACGTCAGATTCTCGGTGTCTGTGCACATGCGCGTGATCAGAAAGAACCCGGAGACACTGAGCTAAGGTGAGTGTGCTTCAGGGGCATCTGAAATATTCTGGGACAGGAAAGGAGGGCAGGAAGCAAAATCAAAGCCAGGAACCAAGTTTTTCCATCAGTGCAGGAAAGCAAGAGGGAAAGGAAAATACTCTTCTTGAAATGGCAGGAAGTTGATTCCTAAGTCCAAGGCAGCAGGTAGCCAAGGCCCGCAGGGGCTGCACTTCCTGCCACCAGCAAGCCCCGGGGGTGCGGGGGGCAGTGCTAAGGAGCAGAGATTAGGATAGCCTTTAGTTAAGGAATTAAATTGGTGTTAATCACCAAATACCTGACACCTGATGTTTCCAGGAACTGTAATTAACCTGCCATTAAGCAGCATTCAAGGCCCGTGCTGTGAACTGTACCTGCAAAATACTACGCTACCTTCAGGAGCAAGAAAGGTAGATCGTGTAAAAGGCTTTGTTCTGCTGTAATCAGCTGTGCCCAGGAAGACGGAGGACGTTTAACAACAGCATCCGGGCACTATTGTCCTGTGTGAGTGATGGCTCCTCTCCCACCATGACAACTCACAGTGCAGATTCTGACCACAGGCTCTGCAGCTTGTCCTGCGTGAGAAATGGACATTCTGGACAGAGGCACCGGAGAGAAGGGAAGGGAGGGGGGAACCTGCATACTGATCAGTTCTCTGTGTCTCCAAACCAGTTTCGGGATGGGCGAGCTCCAGGACACTCAGGATACCTCAACTGCACTGTCAAGGGACAGCGGTTCTGACGCATTCTTACAGAAGGAAAAGTGGTGACTCTGTTTCCCCCAGTTTGTCACAGAGAAATGTGCTCCTGGATTCCTTTGCCCTCTCATACCTGTCTGAGGTTCCACAAAATGTATCTGGGCAGTGCTTAGGTGGGAGCGAGTGCTCCCTTTTCAGTCTCCCATGAAGCTTTATGCTGGCTCAGACGCCAGCATTTACGGAGAGGTCAGCATATCCTGAATGCCGTTTTCCTTTCACCTGCATACCATGCACGGGCACTATATTTAGGCTGTAATTTTGGGGGAAAGGAGGCTCATAAAGTGTAAGGCAGCTGTCGAGGCTTTGAGTAAGAAGGGCTAATACTCAAATCAAATTCTGTCCAACCCACGCGCACGTCCCGCAACTACACCAGGAAGCCACACCTTACAGGATTATAATGGGAAATGCCTTTAAAACCATGCATGCATCCACCTTGCCTTACATCAGAACATGACGGGTGGGTCAGGGCATAGCTGGGTGGCAGAACACGTGGTCAGCATGTGCCAGGCCCTGCGTTCAATCCCAGGACCACAAAAAACTCATCAACAAACAGTAACAGAAAGCCTCAACTACTAATGCGGTAAATATGCTATAGAAATAAAGTACCATCTGAATACACGTTAATAGATGAATATTTCAAATATATGTAAGCCTCATACTAATTTTTTCCATCCCCATCATGTACATTGCAGCCTACATTATAATACGGAGGTACTGTGACTCCCTGTACCCTGGGGGTCTCCTAACAGCACCGCCCCTTTAGGCATCTGTGTCCTACTGCACTGTCTTCCACATTCAGGCCCAGAAACGGCAGGTCTGTATTCTAAGAAGGCATCGTCATTTAGACACTGACATTTATGCACAATGTTCACACACACAAAAAAGTCACATGCATGCATGCATGAGACCAGAAAAACATTCAGTATCTTGAAATTAGAAATGTAGTAGCTAAACACCAAATTCACATCTCAAGCCAGTAGGGGACCCCTCATAGACAAATCCACACAGGGAGTTACACCCACGCGGGCTCCGGCACGACTCACATTGCTAAGCGCATGTGGAGCTAGTGGCCCTCTCCTGAGCCAGGGCTGCGGGTCCCACAGGCTAGAAGCTGCTCCCTCGCCACACGGGCAGCCCTGGCCTTTTGTCCCGTTAGGCGACACCACAGGGGAGAGTGGGTAAGTTCGGAAAGTGGTTTCCTTTCACACCATCTTTGTTCACATAGCTTGTCTGTCTCACCTCAGCTGGGAGCATCATCCAGGTGGTGTACGCTACGGCTGAGTACGGGGCAAGTTCCCTGCTGACATCTCTCCCGCGGCATCTATACTGTGCGTCTCACTCAAGGGCCTACTCTGCCAGGTTGTTAACAATGCCAGGTGTTGCTGTCCCCAGCAGGTAAAGGGAAAGCCCAGGCAGGCACGACTTCGCAGAGCCTCCCAACCTCACAAATGGGGGCGCGGTGAACACAGGCTTGGGGATGTGTGAACAGGGTTGGCAGAAAGAAAATAACCCTGCTATTCCACTACCTAAACAGGTATCACTTTTCATGTATTTATTTGAGAACACATTTTGGTCCATATTACATATTTTTTTAAATTTAAGAATTGAGCTTATATATTGCTGGGCCTGGGGATTTAGCTCAGCGGCACAGCACCTGCCTGGCAAGCGCGAGGTCGTGAGTTCGATTCCCAGTACCGGAAAAAAACCAACAAAACAAAACAAAACAAAGAGCTTATATATTGCTTTTACCTGGTTTTATCCATTTACTAACATAAGCCTAAATATATCATTATATGTTCTTTCATAACATTATCCTTAATGGTTGCAAAGTGAATTTTCGTACTGAGGTACCATAAATTAAATCTTCTATTGTTGGAAATAAAACCATGTCTGATTTTTTGCTAGTATAAATAAGCTATGAATATTCTTGTACTTAATTATCTGCAATCACTCTTCATTATTTTTTCAAGATAAACGGCTAATAATAGATTGCTTAATTTAGATGTATGTAAATTTTTAATGTTTTTAAAATTTATTGTCCAAGTGTTCTCTGAAAAGGTTTTAATAATTTACGTGTTTTTACTACCTCTTCAGTTTCACTCAAGAAATGTTTATTTAGCATTCACTAAATAGCACAAGTTGCTGTAGATGCAGGGATACAAAGACAGATGAAGTGAGGAATTCCCAGCCCTTTATTCCCAGCACCACTACAGCAGCGGGGAGGCCTGGGCCTGGCGGAGTTCAGCTGACCACGCCAAGCCAGCAGAGAGCATGCGTGGTTGTCGTTCATCCTCGCAAGACAAGCAGCTCCCCGAGATCTGGATCTCTGTTTAGGGTCAGCGGAGACCTCACTAAACACGAGGGTGATTTCACACACGTGTTCCAGCTGATTCTCGAGGGAGCCAACAGAGTAAGGAAGAGAACTGCAGATTCCACAGGTATCTTGTAGGTGCCTCACAGCCGAAAACCGCCTGTACCCTCAGCACCCAGCTGCCTGCGAGGCATGCTGTGGGTCATAGGAAAAGCCCTTCAACACCATCACTTCTCATTTTCCAGCTCTGGGCCCCATTAAATGCTCTGGCCTGATGGCCTCCCTAACAGAGGGCTGTAACCTCAGATTGCTTCTGCACCCCAACCCTGCTACCTCTGGGTCCCTGTCTGCGGTTACTTTATAAGGCACTCACTCAGTGTGGACAAAGAGGGTCTCAAGGGCTCCTCCAAAATACCAGGACAGGACATGCAACCTCCCCTCTGGACAAGGACTCTGTTGGGGACCCGTGGGAGTGCTCATTTCCTGGCTGGACCACTTGGAGTCCCACCCAGAGCAGAGATGGGTTTTTCCAGCCTGGAGAGCTGGCCCTGGGTCACTCAGCCTCTTAGCATAGAAGGCACAAGGCCCTCGCAGACAGCACCGTGTGCCCTGCCCCATTTACAGCTCTGTCCCTTAAACCTGGACATCAGTAAGTGGGAGTTGTGTTTGGCTCAGCTTACAAAGCCCCGGGACTCTCCCAATTGTGCAGCACGGGTAACACTGACGAACGGTACTTACAAAGGGGGAATAACATCGTACACACTCTCTGACAAGTAACAGAAACAATCATATTTTCAGAAATTACAGGATGCTTCAAAACTCAGACTGGAAAGGAAGCCCATACCTGGTAGAAGTTAGGCCAGAATGTGCTGATGGCCAGCTCTGCCCGGTTCCATCTCCCGGTCGGGGCCCCAGACAGATTCCAGATGGGGCTTCCCAGTGCCCCGTTGTTGACCTTCACATACACATTGAGGAACCCAGGCGCAGAATTGCTCTTGCTGGACACAAAGTAGTGGAAATCAATGCAGTGGGTGTCGTTCTCCTTCAGCTGGGGGAGCAACAGGTGCGCTCGTTGCCCCTCGGGCCGCCCGGACCCGTTCACCATCATGAAGGAGCCTGTGGAGACAAGATCACAGGACAGTCACAACCCCAAACCCACTTTCTGGCCAGCAATGAAAAGCTACCGTCATTATTCCACGTATCTCTCACAAGCTTACAACTTCACCCCTGCTTTGTCCATACAACACTGCCACCTCCTCCTACTCCAGCTGGTCTTCTCTGTGGATGAGTGGGGCAGCCCCTGGTGTCAGTGCCCCAAGTCTCCTGCACTCTGAACACCCAGTACACTGTGTGCAAACCTGGTCCCATCAGCCTGGTAGTCAGTAGCTACTGTGGTCATTTATATGAGGGTTCATTAACTCTGTGAAGCCTTGCAGTCCTCAGCTACCCCAGCCACAAGTGACTACTTTCTACCACAGTGGGCAACCAGACAGAGGAAACCCTTGTCTTCTCTCCTTGTGAGGCCTGTAGGACTTGTCATCACACCACCATCTGTAATCAAGCCACTTCACACCCTGGTGTGACCTGGAGGAGAACCTAGAGACTTCTGGTATGGAATCCTACTTTATTGGCCCTATGCTCCTCCTTGGGGGTCAATGTCACCAGATCTTTGAGATCCAGCATCCCCACTCCTGGTACTGAGGGGCTGAGCACACGCCCGCAACATCACCCCCTGGAGGAGGAACCTCAGAAGACGCTGTGAGCTCCGGGTCTTACTCCAGTTGCACTGACCCATCTCTGGGTGCTGAAGTTTCCTGATGGATTCTAGCTTTCCAGGTACCCAGGCCTCGAGCCTACCCACGTCTAAGACTGGCAGAAGTGGCAAGTAACACACACATATAATCAAAATGTTCAGAGAAACAAAGGAAAAGAGCTTATCGTAAGTCCTCTTTAGCAGAGGGGAAAAATGTATTGAAAGTCTGAGGAGGACACACACCTACACCTGGGGCATAAAAATGAGAGGAAATAGTGCTATTGGGTGAGGCTGGATTCCCAATTTCTCCCAGATGAGCAGGCTGTGACCCCAATTAAATCTTCTTTTAAAAATTCCCCTCATTATGAATCATAATGGTCAGGGTGGTATGCATATGTGTATTCGTATACACACGTGTGTTTTGATGGATACCCACACAAATCTACGAGCAAACACACAGTGCTAGGAAGCATGCAGAGTTCTCCACATACTGTGACTTCCCCATCTGCACTAATACTTTATGTAAGGAGCACACAGAGAACAGAAGTGCAGATGACCTCTGCCCAGTAGTGGGCTGCCGCTTAGGGGTCTGCATCACTGTTTCCTCAGGGCGCCCCTGTTGGATGTGAGCTAGCTTTAACCCCACTTAAATAAACAGGAATGGACCGACAGAAGGATCCACCAACCCCGGTTTGAGGGTGTGTCACTGGCAAAACCAGAGCCTCGCGCCTCAGTGTCCAGCCCACCGCTCATCCTGTCACCCCTCAACAACCTCGTCTGTCGTGCAGCCACTCACAAAAAGAAAACTCCTCCCTACAAGACATAGGCCATTTTAGAAAGCAGCAGTTTTCCAAGAGATGAATGTTACGTACCTGAAATATAAAAGCTAACCCAGCAGGCAGGGGTTATCTAGGCAGGTGTATTTCAGTAATAAAGAAGAACCTCAAATGTGACTTAAGAAAGACTTAGGAACAGGCTGAGAAGTGCGAGCTGCAGTGCGGCCCACCCAGGCAGCAGTTCTGAAGATGCGGGATGGCCACGGAGGCCGCACTGGCCATCCTGTCCTAGTGCACCAGGGGTTCCACATGTCTACACCCGCTCAGCAGGCTCCCATGCATCCCGCTGGGCCAGAATTAGCCCCATTGGTACAATGTTGCATGAAACTCTGCTTTTACACCTTTGGGAGAAGTTGAAAATGCATCACCGCATGATTCGCCTACCAATGATGACTTGGATCACGTAAGCCAAAGAAGCTAGCAAGAGATGACAGAGAGGATACAGAATGAAGGCCTTGACTCAGAGGAGAAAGAAAACAGTACTGTAAGTATTTGATGAGTCAAAATGCCACCAAATGGTCGTGTACCCCTGAACAATTGAACCTTAGAACTAGGAGAGAAAATGTTACTAGTTCTTGCCAGGGGTGAAACCTATTGGACAGATGCCAACACTGTGATTCAAAGTTGGAAATTGTTTAACATGGAGGATGTGCTACAAGATGTTGTGAAACACACTAATAATGATATGCAAGTAAAACACCCTATACACATCAATAGTAACACGCAAACATGTATTTATCATGACTCCTCACTATCTGAGTTAAAAGCGTTCATAGCAGGACTTACTCATTCTAATTGTCAGAATCTAAAGGCTTATAGAGAAATGATAGATGTGGTGTTGTGATTTTTAAACAATATGACTCTAAATTTGGTTTTCTTCAAAATTGTCTACGTTTTGATGACAAAAAGACACACCATAAAGACAAAAATCTGACAATTTGGGTGCTATTTGCTCATTTTTTGAAAGCTTTGTCTTGAACAGTCAAGCAATTTATACACCATCTGCATACATGACAACTGATGAACGACTTGCATTATTTGTGCAGTAATATAGCACATAACATTATGAAAGACTTGTTACACCTCTTTCAAAAAGTAACCCAAATGTCACATTCAACAGTTGGATAACAGTTACCCATTGTGGTGGACTGACAACTGGTGGTCAACTTGTAACCCCCAGCTGAACTGAATCAGCATGGTGCTGGGTGTGGGAGGCCCACCTGAGGGTTATTGCCAGCAGCATAAGAAGCAGAACTGGAGAAGAAATGGGGCTCTCGGGAGCTGAGAAAGACTGCTGGGTGCTGTTAGAAGCTGTAAGGAGCTGTTGGTTCTCTCGGAGGAGCTTGTCATGCTGGTTTTCCTGATGAACTTGGCTGTTATCATCCAAGGAGCTCAGGACCTTGTTGTCACTTGAGAATGACTTTGGTTCACTTTGGGGGAGCTCTGGTCCTCACTTTGAGCCTCACTTCCAGGCTCCAGCTCAGATCCCTCAGCCTGCTAGCACAGATCCTTCACTCTGGCACAGACTTTCTAGCTTCCACCACTGACCTTTGGGCCTTCCCAGTGCAGATCCGTGAAACAGGCCTGCATGAGACACTGCCATGGGCTCTAGGTCTCCAGCTGGACTCATGGGAGGCATTGTTAGGAGTTCTAGGACTTCAGCTGTATTCATGAAGGACATTATCATGGGATCCAGGCCCTCAGCTGAATTCTTTGGTCATTAGTTTGTGGGCAGATTTCCTGTACTCTCTTTACATATGATTCTTTGGGTGACTATTATAAACAATCTTATAAAATATATGTCTTGTATTATACTGTTTTCCTTGCAAAAACTCGAAGCTATGACACTCACTGATGTTACATTTTCTAGAAGAACACCAGTTGACCAGCACAGAAACTATCTGAAAGAACAAATCCAAGATTCCTTTAAAAATGTTGCTGGTTCACCATAGAGAAATGTATAGTAAAATCTTTGGATTTCAAAAAGACAGAACATTGGCCTCCTATAAGGTGAAGAAAGACGTGGTATTGACACTGTTGACATTACACCACAATGACAAGACTGATAGTGAGCCAGGTGTGGTGGTGCACACCTATAATCCTAGCACTCAGGAGGCAGAGGAAGGAGGATCCTGTCAGGCCAGCATCAACCTGAGCGACATCATTCAAGGCTAGCCTGGCCTACATAGGGAGACTCTGTCTCAAAAGATCCAAAACAACAAGCAAACAAACACAAAAATTGACAGTGAATCCTCAACACAAATGGTCAGAAATTGTCACTTTTTATAACAAAATGAAAGGCAGAATAGATGCGGTGATGGGTTATGCAGCAACTATGATGTCACTCAAAACACAAAGCATAGGCTAACTGTTGTTTTACTCGATCCTAAATATGTTAAGCATAGTTTCATAGTTTACAAAGAAAATAACAAGCACAAAATATCACAGAGAAATTTTCTTAGAGGATTGGGACTGGAATTGACAAGTGATCAATTACAACAGAGGAAGAATAATATGTATCTGCCCAAAGAATTCCATGAAAAGAATTGTGGAGCACACCGGTGAACAGACAGGGGAAACATCACAAGAAGCTCTGAAGAAAACAGAAGAACAGCAAGATGTCAAGTATGACCTATTGAAAAAGACAGGCAAACAAAACACAAGTGCTTTCAGTGTAAGCTATATTGATATATGGAACATACTGTTCTGTGCGTGAAAACTGCTTTAGGTATAATCAATGAAGACTATTTTTATGGTAGAGTTTTATTTGTATTTTCATTGTACCTTCCATAGGAATTTGGTTTTTTTAAGATTTAATAAGCAAACAAAGAGTTGATGTTGAAAATGTTGATATTTATTCTAAAAGCTCATTATATATTTGATATTTTTATTGATATTTCATTTTCCTGTTAAGTTCACATTGTGTAATACAACAGGAAGCACTGATAAAAGAGGAAGACAAGAGAGGTGGCAAGTATGGGCTGCCAGACAGGAGAGGAGAGCTAAGTACACGCGCCGCTGCCGACGTGAGCTACACGTGTGTATGGAACATGCCGTTGTCGCGTCTGAAGGCTGCCGTAGGTGTGATCGTGGAAGCAAAGACAGTTTCTGGGATAGAGTCATGTTTGTATTTTCATTGTAGTTCACACAGAAATTTATTTCTGCTGCTCTTTTTTAGACTTTGTCAGCAGGTAAACAGTTGATGTAGAAAATGTTGATGTTTATTCTAAACACCCACTGCATATTAAAAATTTAATATTTTATTGATATATTCTTTTCCCTTTAAGTACACATTAATATAATAAAACTCATAAAACTAAAAAAGAAAGAGGAGCTGGGAGTAGTGGCAGACACCAGTAATGCCAGCTACTGGGGAGGGGAAGGCAGGACAGCTGCTTCGTCCGGGAGGGCAAGCCCAGCATAAGAGAACCAAGTGCCAAGAAAAGACCATGGAAGATCTGAGGTGAGAGGCACGAGGTGGGAAACCCTTCAAAGCACGCAGACTGAGCCAGTCCCACAGCAAACGT